AAGCACACAGCGGACTTGTGGACTTGTGGTGGCGTCACCCCAGTCAAGCCCTCTGTCCTGCGATCACAGGCCCATGTAGAGATATCGAGTAGCAAAATTCCCCTCACAAACTGGCCTCCAAAACTTGCATTGAGCCACATAATAGGATCCAGATCGCGACATGGCTGCTGAGCTGGACCCGGCCAGGACGGCCCTCGTGTTGATCGAATTCCAGGCGCGTTGCTCAACCCCCCATTCGACTATTGCGGCGCGAAGGCGCGGACGCAGGCGGGGTGCCGTCGCAGCAGCACGATCGCTGCAACAGCACCTAGCGTAGGCCCTGAGAGACCCCTGGATCCCACCCAATACCGGCACCATGACGCTGCGCCGCTGGATTCGCGCTGCAGAATGAGTTCACCAGCGAGGGTGGGAAGCTGCATGATGCTGTCAAAGACGTCATGGCCAGGTGAGTGCATGGAATGTCAACCAAGTGGGATGCGCTGTCGCCTCGATGAAAGCCATCGGGCCCCAATCATGCTTCCCATTGGGCTAATGCCACGCACGGCTGGGTTCATCGGATGAGCACTTTCTGTCACGCAGCGGGCGCGGTGCGAGCAAACCGCCGCGGCTGGCTTGCAAGCACGTGCCAACCGCCAAGAAACGCCCTCGCACGCACCCCCACCCATTGAACGCGCAGCACGAAGATGCTGGACAACGCCCAGGTGAGGTTCCCGGCGCGGGTCAATAGGATGTTGTAATTACGGCATACACGACATGCAGCCGCACGCAGGCCCGCATGGCACACCTACGTACCATGGGAGTCCGCCCCATGTGCCCGCGCGGCGCCTTTCGCGCCGCATCTCTGAGCGGCACGCCCCGCGCGCGCTTGCATGCAGGCGCTGGTGGCCGAGGCGCGAAAGAAGGGGGTTTTGATCGTGCACGTGCCCATCACGTTCACTGATGACTACCGAGAGCTGCGGGCCGACGCGTACGGCATCCTTGCAAAGTGGGTTGGCGCTGACGTTGGCGGGTGGAAGCTACGGGCGGAAGCTGGACGGGCGGAAGCTGCACAGACGGGCGGAGCGGAGCAGGCCGTCCAAGTGGATGCTGAATCGAGTGGCGGGACGAAGCAATCCGCCAGGGCGGGCGGGACGAAACAAACCACTAGGGGGCGTGCCGCACAGGCAGAGGTCGCACCGGACTGCATCACCAAGTGCACGAGACGGTTCGCCTGCATCCTGAGGCGCGGTTACTGACTCGTTTTTCATCACACCGCCTCTCCTCATGCGCCCAAACGCATGCAGCGTGAAGGCAGGCGGCGCCTTCAAGAAGACAGAGTGGGGCGGCGCCATCTGTGACGCCATGGCCCCCCAAGAGGTTCGAGGGCCCCTCACCCCTGGATATTTGCTCCTTGCTCGCGACTGCCTGGGCAGGCGCAGACTGGCACATGCACAGAGGTGGCTGTTGACTTGAGCGTTCACATGCAACGCCTGGGTGGCTTGGGCCCGAGTGGATCCCTCGCATCTGCACTCACTCCAAGAGAGCTCGCTCGCACCTGCACTCACTGAACTCGTGCAATTTAACGCATGAGTGCGCTCACTCCACGCATCCCCCCCCCCGGCCTGTCGTCAGGGTGACATCATCGTGGAGGGGAAGCGGGGGCTGTGCGGGTTCGCATCGACCAACCTCGATTTCATCTTGGGGCAGCGCAAGATCGAGAACATTGCTCTGGCGGGGTTCCTGGTGAGGGGCTCTGCCGCCTATTCTGAAGGGAGCAGAAAGGCGGCCACGGCACCCCGCAGCTCGGAAGAGGCTTCTGCATGCGCCGTGACCGGCGCTGGATCGCGCCCGCTCGCTTGCCTGAGGGGAAGAGCAAGCCTTCCGGTGTGCGCCTATCTGCTATTGACGCCCCGCGTCTGGTGCCTGCGTGACGGCTTCTTGAGACGTGCAAATGTGACTGGGCCGCTGCGCCGCTCGTCGCGAATGCCCCTTGCTCACAGACCAACTGCTGTGTTGAGTCGAGCATGCGCAGCGCCTATGAGAAGGTGGGGCCGAAGGCCGCCAAGCTTGGGCAGCCAGGCTATGGACGCAACCAGAGGCCAGCAGGGCGGGCAACAGGCAGGCAGCCCCACTGACCGCCACCACGCATGTTGCGACTGTCAAATGCGTGGCTCGAGCATGCTTCTCAGCTCAGGCTGGATTGGTCTGTGGTGTCGCTGCCGTCTCCGGTGGCCCAAATGCTGCGGTCAACCCTTCTGGTGTGCTGGTTGCTGAGCCCTCTGCCTACACTTGCCCGGTGGCACCATGGCCCCTGGCCCCCCCCCCTCCCCAGGGCTACCATGTATTCACGCTCAAGGACTGCTGTGCAGCCACCAGGTTTGTGTGTGTGTGTGTGTGTGTGTGTGTGTGTGTGTGCGCGTGTGGCTGTGAGGAAAGAGTTGTTGCAGGGGGGGCTGCCAATGCTGTTTGAGGGGTGACATGGAAGGACCTGCCTGCCCAGGCTCTGTCTGACACAGCACCACTGAAGCTCTGCCGGCAGCAGCGTTGCAACACAGCACCAGGGGACACGTCCCCTCCCTGCCGCCCAACAGCCACCCCACCGATGACGCTTGGCTCCGTGGTTGCCTGCAGTGCTTCTTCCCACCCTGACACGCCGCCCCTTGTGCACACACACATTCACACACACACACACACACACACACACACAATCACAGCCAAGAGGCACACGACGCAGCCATCACGCACACGTTCCCCATGTTCTCGGTCCCCGTCACCCACGGCGAGCTCCTTGCCAAGCTGGGGTAGGGGCGGCCGCTGTTGCTGCGCGGCTGTCTCTATCCCAAGAAGACAGAGCCTGACACACCGTGGTGCACCAAGACAAGGGCATCTGCGCAGCCAGCAGGGCGCGCGCTCCGTTTTTGCAGGCACGCGGTCTGCTGGCAGGTGGCGTGTGCTTTTTGGGGGTTTCCCGCTCGCAATTCTGCCCCAAGCGACTTGGCAGGGCTGATGTTTGTTGCTGTTATGTGTGTTGCTGTACATTTTGCCTGTCAAATACCAAGTCCATTTGAACTGATCCTGGTCTAGATCACGATAGTAAAATCAACAGGGCAACTGAAGCAGCAGGCAGGCGGTAGTCGCAGCAACAGAATGCAAGTGGCAGAAGCACGCCCCTCAACCACTTCCTGACTTGCCTTCACCGTTTGCATGCGACTGCGGCTTCCACAAGCCGCCTTGCGCCCACTCACAGCCTCCAACACTGTTACAAGAGCTAAGAGCAGCACGAAATGCACGTAGCGCTGCGAAGGTGTGACCCAGGAACTGATGGGTTCGCGAACAGCGCCCGCACGCCTCAAAACGAAGGCCCCAGACCCGATGAGCGTCCTACACCTCACAGCAGCCCGGGCCGATCACCGCGCCCCCGCCGCCGCCGCCGCCTGCTGCTGCCTCGCGTTGTGGCGCGCCAGCAGCTTGGCGGCGCGCATCTTGAGCCACTCGCGGTCGAGCACGCCGTCGCCGCCCGCGCCGCCGCCGCCGGCGCCCTCGGCGGCGTCCTCGGGCTCGCTGTCGCTCTCGGCGTCGGCGTCGGCCGGCGGCTGGTAGCCCAGGATCCTGCGGGCGGTTTAGGGTGGGATTTCGTCAAACGGGGTTTTGGCGGGCAGCTGCCGGGGCCTGCAGGGATTCAGAGTCGTGTTTGCGAGCGTGGTATCTTGTTCGTGCTTTGGGGCCAAGCTGGTAGCCAGCCGGGGCCGGCAGGGTAGTGAGGGTTGGTCGGGGGGATCAAGGGGCAGTCACAAGGTCACGGCCCCATGCGCGCCATGCACGCAAGACCGGCCGACGGCCAGCCACCGCCGCACGGCAGCTGCAGTGGCGGCGGCCGCACCCTCCTCTGCCCATAGCATGATACAGCGGCCCGGCCAACGCATCAAGAGTACGCGGCGATTGGCAGGCCTGGAGGCAGGGGCGCGCACACACCTGGTGAGGTCTGGCGCGCCGGCGCCCTTCTTGCTGCCCTTCTTGCGCTTCATGCTGGGCAGCAGGTTCATGTCCAGCGGGTTGCTGCTCACGGCGTCCAGCCAGGGGGCGCCCGTCCACGTGCGCCTGGCGGCCGCGGGGCGGCAGGGGGCAGCGGCGTGCAAGGCAGGCACCGGAATGGGTTTGTGCGGTTGAAGGAGTGGGGGCAGCAAGGGGGGGAATGGGCAACAGTTTGTGGATGCGGTGAACTGAAGCATTAACATCTGCCAGACCCCCAGTGCCCAGCAGTGCCTAACAAAGCTTCTGATATGGCCCCTGGCCCTGACCCTGGTCACAACCACTGCAGCCGTGATGGCTTGATGCGCTGCCAGAGCGCAACGGGAAGAGACCGCCCGCAAGGTAGCGTCCGGCACCCACGCACGCATCGACGCGCGAACGCACACGCGTTCCCATGTGCAAGCGGACGCACCTCTCCAGGCCCTTCATCAGCGCCTTCTCGCTGTCCAAGATCGCCGCCCGCCTCTCAGGCTCAGCAGGCCCCTCGCCGGCCGCGACCGCAGCCGCACCCCCCAGCGGCGCGTCGGCGCCCGCCGCCGCCGCCGCCGTCGCGCCTCCATCTGCGGCCGCGGCGGCGGCCTCCTGAGCCTGCCAGACGGGTAAGGGCGGGACCTCCGCCGCGGCCGCTTGCGGCGCCGGCTGGCCGCCCTCCGCGGCGCTGGCGCCGGCGGGCGGCGCCAGCTCGGACGCCCCGGCC